ATGCTTACAATTGATATGTAATGATGAATTAATATTTTTGTCAACAATACTGAAAACAGTCCATGTAACTACCTTTAGCAATCTTCCTTCTTTTAAGTACCAACTTTAGTGTTCGCATCACGTTTGCCATTCACATGTTACTGAAGGACAGACAGGAGACAACACAGGCATATTGTACACGTCGTATGTCTCTTCATGTGTGGCTTGTTTTTTTTAGTGCCTGCATGCTTTTAATGTTTATGCATGTGGACCTCTGTGCTAACAAGCATGTCATCTTGTGTTTCTCCATGAGCTTATGTCACAGTTAAGTTGTGAAAACTGACACCATGCCAGTGTTGACACCCACACCTGCCAGTTATATAACATAATCAGGTTGATGAGTGGACTGCATAAGCTATATGCAGTTTTTTTCTATGTGTGTGTGTGTTTTACTTTGTCTTAGCTTAGTGCACAGGTGTTTGTATGGTATGTGTGCATACATAGCTGGAGTTGTTTCCCGCAGGTGTGTTTAGGTATGAATGTAAAGTGGAAGCCCCCCCCTGTGCTATATCAGCCTCTCTTGTTGCCGTTTGGCTGCACCGCTAATGTTTTATTGATTATACACGCTCACGTTTTTACAAGCACTTAGAACAGCTGCTGTGCTGTAAATTCACCTTTTACAATGTCTCTCATCATCGCTGCTCACCATGTATCAGTATCTTGTTTGTCTGATATGTGCTCCCCATCTCTCCTTGTCTCTCCTCCTCTCTTCCATAACGTTGTTAATCTCATGCCTTCTCATGTGTGGCTCTAGTTTGTGTGTCCTTTCTGTCTTTTGCGTTTCGCACACACACACACACACACACACACACTCACACGGCACATAGTGCACTCAGAAAACCAGGCAGGGTTACAGACAGCATATGTGAGTCGGGAGTAGAGTGCACACACACATTCACTCACTATGATCACAGGCCGTATTGACAGTGGGATTGTACTGAGAAGAGTACAACAGTAGTTGTTTTTTTTTTCTGTGTTAAAAAATAAAGGTTAGTTGACTCATCTTCAGAGAAACAAAAGATTACAAATGCCTCTATTTTCTGCATGTTATAAAATAGAGAACAAAACAAAAGTAGGGGATACAGATTTTGAACGTGTGGGAGAGGGTTCAGGCTCAGATTCTAGCTCCACATCTCCCCCCCCAGGCTGATACGAGGATAACATGTAATATAATCTATACCTGGCTCTATCTGTGCGAGTTACATAAATGCAGACAGACAAGCAGTAAATCAGTGGGTTTCATGATTTGAAATCGCAGCAATGTTGTAATGATGCACTGGAGAGTTAAATTCCCTGAACACCCTCGAAGGTGTGTCACAGATTGTGGCTGATTAGACCTCTGCTCACACTGAAGGTGAGCGTAGCTATGTGGGGAATTATATGAGGTCACTGGACTGGATGCACCAAAAAGAATGACAAAGGTGTGATATCTCCCGCCCCAACAGATGCAATAAAGCTAAGAGGAGGTGCAGACATGTCAGTCAAACTCTCTGCACATGCCTACTCAGTCCTGAGAAGAGGTATAATCTGGTGAAGTATGTAAAGAAAACACTTGTGTGGGTGGATAATGGCTGTGCAGGAGCTTTAAAAGAAAATATACTCTGACCTTTTTAAAGACCCCACACATCCAAGTAAAACAAAATCAGTGATTTCTTGACACATCATATGCATAAGAAATACTTGTCGAAAACATGAAAAGACTGGAAACTGCAGTGCTGCATTGTGGAGTCAGACCATTTAACTTCTTTTCATCGTTTCTGTGTCCAGGACTTTTTGAGAAGGCCTATAATCATGGCTCGCTGAGGCACAGGAGCCATCCTCAACAAACATCCCCCCCTGTATGTTAGCGCCGGGCTCGCCACCTTCTACAAGCTCTCTTGGTTCTTTCAGTCTGATAAATATACTGTTAAATAATACAATCATATCAACATAAACAAAATAGCCATCACTAATGTACCTTTTCATCCTTTAGCCAAAATTAGCGACCGGGCCTGCTGACAGTTCCTGCTTACTGCTATGGGTGTGTGCATTGTGCTAAAGGGGAACTGCCCATTGGTTCGACAGCCCATTGTTCCGACCATATTAAACTCATTGTTCCGAAGTCCGTTCTGAAATCATCATGATGTCCTGTGGTTAAGGTCTGGTTAGGTTTAGGCACAAAAACCACTTGGTTAGGGTCAGGAAAAGATCATGGTGTGGGTTAAAATGAAAAAGAAAGTCATAAACACATAAGCCGTGAGCCTGCTCCGCCTCAAGCCGGTCGCGGCGCACCATACGCCCGCCGCGAGCCGTTCAGCACCGCGGACAGTCGGACTAATGGGACGTCGAACCAATGGGCTGTCGAACCAATGACATGGACCCGTGCTAAAGTTAGCTGCTGTTAGCCGCTAAAAAAGAGTCTGTCGCTGAGGAGCAGTACGCGTTCTTCGGCTCTTGGGATGTGTGCGCCATGCTACTATAGACTGTGTGCTACTTGGTGAGCTGCTAACAAGAGTCTGTTGCCAGGGTCTGACACTCATTTTTCGGCTTGGGGGATGTGTGCTGTGCAACTGTAGACTGTGTGTGCGCTATTGGGTTAGCTGCTTACAAAAGCCTGTTACTGTGCAGCAGCTAGATTTTAGGATTAGTGCCTTCAGTTGACACGCCCTTGACGTCTCAGAGCAGAGGATGCAGGTTTTTTGTTTGTTTTTTGTTTGTTTTTACCATTTTGAAACCGAATTTCATATACTTGGAATTTTTTTGTGATCATTCAAATTTGGTTGGGTAGTTAATAAAATATTTTTCTATGGAGTAACAAACTCAGAAGGCATATCCATTTTGCTTTACCCAGACTTTAAGTTATGGTTGATTAGGTTTAAGCTCAAGTTGGCAGAGCTATGAGAGGTCAACAAATTTTATCTATTAATAAGAATGCTGTAAAACTGTCCACTGGTGCAATAGGCAGTGGTGTGCACATTCACACTTCACAAGAGGTAGCTTAAAGTTCAGTTCACACTGATTTAAATGAACTAGTTCAGGTTCATAGTTTACAGTTTGAATCTGGAAGTTCACAGTCCCAAAAATAAGCTAGTTTACATTCATGTCTTCTGTTTTTTTAAGTGAAATAAAAAGTCTTGTGATCATCATGCACTCGCAGATAGTTTCCAAAACTGTTCTGATGCTTCAACTCAGTGTGCTGTTTCAGATTTATCGCTGATGTGGCTGACATTCGGACTTGTCGGTGAAGATTCATCCAGGTCATGGGGATCTTATGTGCTATTTCAGAGGCAACTGGACTTGTATGAGTTACTTGAAGATGTAGAATTGAAGAAGCCTCTTGGATGAAAGGCGAAATGTCTTTAAGAAGCTCAAGCAAGTCCAGTTGCCTACGATATAGCCCTTAAGACATTTAGACTTGTTTTTCGGACTCATATATGCATATAAATGTGAGGTTTTTTTTCAATGGAATCTGTGACTTACTAATTTGTTCATAAAAGTTTTTTTTTTTTTTTGTAAATATCAATATAAACTTCCTTCAGCAGTACTGGTAGCTGCATTGTCTGCTGTTTTGTTGGCATGTCGGGTGCCATAAATCCTGAGGTGCCATGAAACAAGCATTGCAAGCTGTTGCATGAAAGCTTACATTAAAGTTCACATGCTGCAAACTGATGCCGTCACTTCACCTTTCACCAGAAATTGAGGATGCTCAATAAAAGCACTCTTTTAGCACGTTCATGTACAACACTGACAATGGGAAAATAAGTGCGATGTCAATCAAGCACATCCACACAGACCTAGGAAGAGATGTAATTAGGCAAAGTCAGTAAAAACACCTGTTGAGGTCTTTCATGGGTGTTTAGGGCACCGCTCTACAGTATAAACAAATGAAAAGCTGTTAAAGTTAATTGGCTGTTGGTTGTTTGTCAACTTCTGCTGTCATCGTTCGTCGCAATCGTACAGTAGTTGCGTCTAATGCAGAAACCTGCTCCTGACCGCACTAAGGAAAGTCATTCTACCGGAGGAGTGAGTTAAACTGCTGCTTTCTATTCTGTCAACAATAACTCAAACAGGATATGAAATGTTAACGGCGTAAAAAAGAAACCAGTTTAGCTAAGCTTCACTGTTAGTATTGGTCCCAAAAGGGAATTGATCAGAATTGGCAGAGAAATGCACATTCAACAGTGTCTTCAGGCTTTAGAGAAATGGATTATCCCGTATTTCCCTCTGCAGCATGCCCTCTGCTTCTCTGGTGTGTTTGCATTTTCTTCTAAGCACAAATCAAGCCATGTTTTTTGCCAATTTTGTGTGTATCACAGTGCGTGTGTGTGTGTGGTTGTGTATGTGTTTGTCTTTGGATAGCAGACAGCTAAATCATTTTTTTTTCCTTTTTTTCTCTACTACCTCTCTCTCTACGGGGAAAGCAGGCTAGTTTGATCTTTTAAGCTTAAAACAATATTTTATTGAAAGCAGGAGGCAGCGTATAGATGAAGAAAATATGGTTTGGGACATAAATAATGTGGTTGGAGGGAAAAGGTTGTAAGTTTATGATGCAATTTGATAGACATAGAAGTCTGGGTCAGATTCATAAAGCGCCTTTGGATAAAATAAACTCACCATCATTTCCACAGGAGCAATACCCAATGCACCAGGATCAAACCTTGGTGCGTATAGGAAACTAATTTGACATACACGTAGAGTGTGTTCAAACGTTGAACATTAGAAAGACTAAGGCATTGCAATTATCAGGTTACTGTCCTTTGTGACTGTGTTGTAACACCTCATTTCTGTTCTGACTAAATTAAATAAGTATCCCGTCTGGATCACAGTGATGTTTGTTTGTTTTTAAATCTTTTCAGTGCTCAAAGTGCATTTGCCTCTTTTCGTCTCTACAGTTTATCGCTCAGTAAACCCAATCCGGTGTCTCTGATGTCTGTAAATCTAACACTTCTGTGTGTGTGTTTTTGTGTTTGTGCACATTGCAGCTGGCAACGTGGGACCCAGTTCATGGCTTGAACGGCACACTGACAGACAGGAAATTGGAAAATAATATGAGAGGAGTGGTGCTAAGAGTCGTCACTGTTCTGGTGAGTATAGCTGACCTGTGTTTTTATTTGTGTATGCATGGAGTTTTTTTTATCACTGTGATTTCTGAAAAAAAAAAGACCAGTTTCAGTGTTCCCTGTTTGAAAATCATCCTGCTGTTCGCTCTGAAGAATCAAAGACGGACTGTTGTGACGACTGCTGGCATGTCAGACTTCAGCCTTTGCTCTATTGTAAATCTGTCCTTTTGTCTAGTTTTCTGCCCATCATTCAGCTCGGTCTCTGCGGAGATGTAGAGACGGACAGGCTGAGAGCTTGTGCAAGGGAAAGGAAAATGGCAGACAAACATTCATGAGACAAAGGCAAAACACAAAGAAAAAGTAACAAGGTGAACTCGCTAATGGACCAAGCTGTCATCATTTCATTAGCATCCATCTTGACATTTGACAGCTAGATGATAGAGACCGTTGGAGTCCTGATGATAGTGAGACTCCAGCTCTTTCTGTCTCGCCTGCAGCATCGATTTGAGTACATCCCATGAGTGCTTTAAAGATTCACTGCTGTAAATTCTTCATATCCCGTCTTTGAAGTGAGAAGCAGAGAAGAAAGAGATAATGCCAGACATCTTTGTGGCTATCTTTTTTTCTTTCTCATTTTTTTTTCTAGTCTTTGATTTCCATCATCCTTAAAGGGGAAAAGAGCAGGGATTGTGTTTTTGAATGTCGCCCTTTTTCCCATCAATGGTGTAGGGTGGCTCGTATAGGTGTATGTACACATCTATTATTCTTTTTACCCTTCATGTTCTGTATCTCCGGTTGTGTAAATGTGTGTGTTACCTGAGATGACTGATGCCTCATGAGGGCCTAAAGACAGAAATAGATAGAAATAGAGTGAGGTGTCCAGGGTGCTGCCCGGATGTACTGTTTTCTCTTTATGTGAGAATGGTTGGAGGGGAAATCCTGATTGTGCGTGTGTGTTTGTGTGTCTAAGTGTGTGTGCATTATGTGGAGGTTTCCAAAGGGACCTTTGGAACAGATTGTTCTGTGGTGCCCTTGGCTTTTTATGCTCTCTGCCTTTTTTTTCTGTCTGTAAGGTGCGATGGTCTCATACCCTCATGCCCTGAGACATGCTGAAACAAACAAGCGTGTGTGTGAACATTCACACGTGCACTTGAACACATTAACCTGTAAAAGCATCTGTTCGTTCAATTCTCTCTTCCAGACTGTTGAATAGTTATTGATTTGTTAATTAGTGATGAGATCATACCGCTATTAGGGCCAGTGACTCGACATCAATGCTATTGATTGGCTGAGGCGATATTGATTATTAAATGGATGTTACCAAGGAATGACTACATCACTACAATTATGTGTTCACGGTCCTCTACAGGGGTTAGTAGAGTATACATTCTGATCACAAGTGTGACCGAAATTGATATTTTACAGCTAAGAATTTAATTAGATGCTTTTAAACGCTTACATTTCAATGATGTGTTCTAGACAGGAAGTTGATTTCTTTAGATGTGACACTCTGAAGGTGCGAAATCAGGCGGCCTTTAAATTACCACTCACTGACTTGCAATTTAGTTTGATTCACCTCAGCAGCTGAGTTTTCATCTTTTGCTGATTTTTTCATAATACTCAGTGCTCCTTAATTTTTGAGGGTGCACCCACATTTCTTTGGTCCTACTCCACATTTATGAGTAGCAAGATGTGAATATATACTGCAGCCCAAATATGCAGCCAAAGGCAGAAGATGTCCCTTTTTAACTTGAGTTCACATTTTTGGAGATAATGAAAGAGCGCTCAGTGTTTTCCCCAAATGAACCTCAAGTTTAACTTTGGAAGAGGATAAGGCACACAGTAAGGGCTGATTTATGGTTGTGCATACGCTCTACCCAGAGCCTATGCTGTAGCCTACACAAGTCTGTGCTGGTGTGTCTGTGTCGCTCTGTAATGACACTTTCGAAACACTACTTGACAGTTGGGTTTCTATGACACTGTGTTTAATTTCTGTGAAATGCTGTTAAGTTTGACTGATTCAAAATACACCTAGAACACACATAAAAAAAATCTTCTCCATCATAGTTTGGTTTGGATGAGTAGAGGAATGAGTGTTTGTTGACCTCGTCCTGGACTCTGGATACAATGGCTGGAGGTGAACAGGGTGGAGGAGGTTGCGACAGTTCTGCCTAAAATGACAGCTGACAGCAGCAGAGGAGAGAGCACATATAAATTATGCAGTAGCATTGGCTGATAGAGATTGTGGCAAAGTTTGATTGGATAGCTATTAGAGTGGACACCCACAGTCAGCTGATTAGAGGAAGCAGTGGGAGTGGGTGGAAGAGAATTGTGAATGGATGAGCACAAAGAAAGCCTTCCTGATTGAACTTACGCTGAACTTCATTAGCATAAGCCTATGACATTTTTCTCTGCATAAATTAGCCTAGTAGCTAGCAGACTTTTCCACAATATCACAATATGCTGATGTTATTAGACCAAGTCTATGACATTTTACTTTTCATAAATCAGCCTAGTGGCTAGTGGAGTTTTCCTGTACTCATATGAAGCCAGGATAAATCTCCCACAATGCTATTTTGATAGGTTTTTATTGTCTTCACAATTATTTTTTCTCATCTCATAAAAGCTTTGTTTCCATAGCAGGAAATGGTTTTCAGCTTACTGTTCCCACGCAGTGTAGTTACATTCCCGGGAAAGTGTACATCAGGCTACAGCCCAGAACCCACGCCATATGTACGGCATCTATTCAACACAGAAGTATAAATCCCGCTTAACTGACCAATGACGATTAATAAGGCTCCATTCAGATAATGTGATGTTATGGGGTATGCCTTCATTATGTAGCAACAGTAGAGAGAAATGCAGGAAAGGTCGCTGGTCTAAGACATTGCCGTTCGTGGCTGATGTCCAAAGGGATGCCCTGAAATGTTCACAGCAGACAATTTACCTTCACTGTTGATATAATTGTTGGACCTGTTGAACTGTTGGAAGGATGAAGAGAAAAATCTGTGTTGCACTATCCATATTAATCACAGTGACAGAGTACTGCACTGCTTGTCTGTTTGTTTTTTGATACATATCCTCCATCTTTATCAAACACAGGCTGAAGGAAAATTCATTTTTGTAACAATAGAAATCTGATCTTCTGCAGAGACTGGCAGGGCTTTCCAAATGTGTGTGACTGTGTTTTCAATATGCTCACTGCTACAAATCACCACGACACTGTCACGCCCAGCATTCCCTGGGAGGACTCTTCAAATGCCATTACTTAGTCTGTGTGGAAAATTGCTGTTCCTTGTCCCCATCATGTCTCCAAAAGCACCTGATCAGCGCTGAGACCACATGTGGTGTTTCTAGTCAAGAGGAGACAGGGGATAAAGTTGCACCAGAGGAATTAGAATAGAGGACAAGGAGTAGGAGGAGTGATGGGGGGAATAAGAGATGGGAGCGATATTGGAAAGACAAAGAGGAGATGGAAGAGAAGGACTGCTGGATATAGAGGGATGTGAGGTGATATTGCAAGGATGACAAGTGGGGAGTGTTGTAGCCTCGGTGGACGGATGGATGGATGGAAAGAGAAGAGGTGTCCTAGACATATGTTTAGGGAAAGCTGGGGATGCTGGGGTGTGGAAAGATGCCAAATGGTGTATATCACAGCTGGTGAGTGGCAGGGGAAAGGAAGGGACTGCAAAATATCAACAGAGAGAGAGAGGGAGAAAAGAGATGGAGGGGAGACAGATTAGCGTCACAAAGCCAGACTACATCTCAGATGATAATTTTTCGTGACAAGATTTCAGTCTGGGAACCATTGACTGAGTATCGATTGAGCCTGGCAGCTCAAAGCCAGACCAACCAGTGAGCTATGGGAAGTGTTTAGACGATTACATCACTCGTTGCCTCTCACAAAACCAAACTGAAACAACTCTGTATTGTATTTGCTTCAGATTTACTTTAAAAAACAATCTGACTGGATCGTTTCAGAGAGATCTGACAATGTTTCCCCGATAGCCACCATGTTTTACAAGCTGAGCGAGAGAAGGAAAGCCCACTGGCAGTCCAGCGGGTGATGTGTCCATCTAGTCAGGTGTACATTCATGTTGATGTCTAAGTGAAGGAGAGAACTGTCATGTACCGTACAGCCAACTTGAAATGACATCTGTGTCAAACAACCCGTGCCCTTGCCAGAGAACAGTGAGCTAAGCTGAAATCGTGGGTTGGCTCCGAGACACTAGAGAGACATGAGCTGCTTTTATGCATTCTGTACCTACAGTGCACCATAATAGGATAAAATACCAAACATGCTTTCAGTACTTTCAAACACTCGCACCCCCACATACACACACCTACGCAGAGCTGCACATGCACAGCCTTGTATTGATTTGCCGCTGCTATTGGTTGTGTGTTCCATTATTAGCTAGCAAACGCTTGTGGGTTGGCGTGTGTGTATGCATCTACATGTGTGTGTACAGTATGGATGTGTGTGCTTGTGTGCCAGGGGGTGTTTTCACTGTATACCAGAGAGCCTGTTTATTTGGAAAGCAATCAATGCACAAGGAGCAGAGCAGTTATTGGGAAAACAGAGAAAACAGAAATAGAGGAGGAATAATTTGAAAGGGTTTTGAAATGAGAATCTTTGCAGGTTTTTTTTAGGAACAGCTCAATTCTCTACATATGGCTTTCCATCAAACAATCAAGTGAAAACAAACTGTATACATGTTGTCGTCTTTTTCTTCTTTGTTTACCCACATTTTTTTCTTTAGTCTTTGCTACTGAATTGTTCTTTTTTCCCGCGAAGGTATTAACCATATGACACGGCCCTGGACTGATTGACAGTTGCCTTTCTCGTTAGACGCCTGTTGTCCTACCCTTCAGATATTAATGTGCAATAAAGACGGAGTGAATACACTCATACAACTTCAAGCCGGAAAAGTACTGAGTGAATGATGTTCTTACACCCTCATGTGTTGGCAAAACAGTTGATAATGAAGCCTTGATATCTAAATCCCCCGCTGTGTTCACTTGTA